TATATATATATAATATTATATAGATATAAATGCACTTTTCTTTAATTTAAACTTTACTCATCATAAAAACAGCATTATAATTTTTATTGTATCATTTCTAGTATTTGGAGGCACACAAAAGTACCGCGGCACTGTGGTTGAGAATCACTGTGTTAGAGCATAGTATGAAAAACTTGACTCAGTTAAAGATTAAATTTTTTGACATCTTTACGACAAAAAATTTTGAAGAATAAACTTAATTATTGATCAACAGTTCCTGTTTATGTCAATGTCATACATTTATCTCAAGGTTAAATTTATTTTTCAGTTTTGTATTTTTTTTACTGAACGTGAGGTAATAAAAACCATAATTTTGAAAACCGAACTTTCCTGAAAAACAGTTACAATATGAACGGAAAAATTACCTAACGAATAGTTTAAATACCGTATATTTTATTTTTGTTAACCAGAATTATTGTTTTTACACCGAAAATGTCACTACAATACAGTACGGTAATTTTACCAGAATTTTTTCTCTCTGTTAAAACCACTGATTTCATAAGTAATTACTCTCCTAAAAATTTTTTATCAAATCAGAAAATCAGGCCCGTTTTGAGAACATTTGATTTTAAAATACCACTGATTTTTATATCCGAATGCCTACACTTAAGAAAAAATTTGTATTTCGAATAATTGGTGTTTTGAATAATTATATTTTTTTTACTAAACGTGTGATAATAAAAACCATAATTTTGAAAACCGAACTTTTCTTTAAACCTGACACTTAAGAAGAAAATTTTTTTTATGTGTAATTAATTTTATTAGCCAAAATTATGATATTTCTTCCAGAAACGACATTACCATATTATACGGAATTTTAACTGAATTTTTTTTATTGTTGTCCGTATAGAAAAATTTTCCCCTTCAAGGAATTATTAATAATTCACAATATTTTTGAGAATTTTTAATAAAAATGTTTTGGATAAATGTACACTGTAAAAAATTCCGAATTAAATCACTTTATAAAATACTGGCAACCTGAGCGCAGCAACTGTAAAATCTGAAAAACTAGACCGTAACTTTTTCAGTGATATTTATTTATTTACAGTAATTAAATTATTTGACAGTAAGTATTACTGTATAAAAATCACAATACATCAAGCTTTTTGTTCGTAAGACTTTACGTAAAAGTAGAAAAGTACTGACACTTTTAATACCTCTGCTTTCTACTGTATTTCGATCTGCAATCCGGCACAGCAATCAATTTTGCTATGGTTTCTTGTTCTTGTACCTACTACAGCAAAAAATTGATTTCTTTTAACATTAAACTTACTGTTAACAGTTGATACTCAAGTTTTGTGAAACTTTCATCGTTCTTGACCAAACCATTTCCTGGTATATGTTCCCAAAAAATTGGCGAAATAACTACCGTCACTTCCACGAGGAAATGAATTTCGTCAAAATTAAAGAAATATTTCGTCATTCCATTTTTTCTTTATTCTCCAGAAAATGAAAACCTCTTAGTCTCTAATGTATTTAACTTTTTGAATAATCACACACCTTATCGTGGGTTCAATATAAGAGGATCAACGCTGCCCAAAGTGCTCTGACTAAGTTCGTGCTCTAAGACTAAAAGAACAGAGAGATCGATCCCGCTCTTTGCTCGAAGCGAGATTCGACACATTCCTTACATTACAGACCTCCCGGTTTTATCATCACATTATTTTCGATCGTATAGTCTTCATTCCAGTTCTCCCACAATAAGCACTATGATGAGATTCCGTAATTGAGGAAACATTTTTGTCATACATTTGAGAGCTCGTGTTTGACACAATGATTCTCAAAATTAACGAAATACAGCCCAAATATTGCTGAATCGTCAAACGTGAGAACTTTATTTCTGAGAGTGCTGGAAGAAGAATTATTAAAAAAATTAATTAATAATTACAAATACTTGATCTTGCCTTGGTGTAGGGATTTTAAAACTGAAATTAGCTTTGCTCCTTAAGGTACAAACTGTTTTTAAAATGGCATTTTCAAATATTTTTTGGCGAAATGTGCAAGTTTAAAAAATTAATTTACATAACATCGCGTAAATATTGCGGCAGATTTCTAGAGTAGTTAAGGCACATTATCAGGATTAAAATTGTGTCGATAAAAATACCCGCAAATGTCATCATACTCCGATAGGGGCACTTCCTTATATTGAATTGGTTCTTCGCTTGTTCCTGAGCAGGTCATAATAGGGAAGTACCCCTAGCCGAGTACTATGATATTTCCGGGTATGTATTTCTATGCAATTTTCATCCTGTTGATGTACCCTAACTCACCTAGAGTTTGCCGCACTATTTACGTGATCCCTGTTATATATTACCTTTTTAAGCTTGCACATTTCGACACAAAATAGAGTAAAAATTTCATTAAGAAACATTGGCTTGGAGAGAGAAATCAATTGCTGAATAGAAATCAGTGACGTAAACATACCAATCGCTTGTAAGAAAAAAAAATTGCTCCTAATCAAAGAGTAAAAATTCTTAATTTCTAAAAAAAAAAAAAAAAAANAAAAAAAAAAAAAAAAAAAAACATTACTTAATTTTTCTAACAGTTTATGCCGTAAATGTTGAAAATATTGTTAAATATTTTTGAAATTAGAGCCTATAGACTTAAACAAATAGAAATCTTTGACTGCATAAAAAATAAAATATATAATTAAAAAAAACTAATAATATTTATTATACTTACTTTTATCAAATTTGCATTTTCCCCCTTTATTTTTCCACTAAATTTCTGTTAGTTTACGTCAATGATGAATACAATGTGAAATGTTGAACGCTACTATTTTTAAAATCACTTAATAGCTATTTCTAATAATATATTTTGATCTTGTTAAAAGCACTGATTATTAAACAGTATCTACTTCTTATCCAACATCTAATTATAAAGTTTTCTATTTCACAATCTTTCTCGCTATTCCACACACTTTCCCATATTCTGATATTGATTTTTAAACACTGATACAATTTTATATTTTATTTGATTCTGATACAATTTCATAAGTTCACGTCATGAACCACAAATTTTTAGATAGTTGATAATATGCCGTCCTAGGGTTACTAGAATTACTTGGTCCTAAAATTATTTGATCTTAAAATTACTTGTATAAAAAAATTTTCAAAAAACTTCAAGTTTTAAGCTTTAAAAGGTTCGGTCAGAGTTTATAAGTCTGTCCTGAAAAAAAATTCGCAAAAGATTTAGGATCAAATTCGGTAGAAACTTTATATATGGCAGGTGTTATTTGAAAGTATCTACTCATCTTTTAATAATATATCTTTGAAAATACATTCCTAATTCCTACATAACACTTAAAAGCAAATAATATATAAACAAGTCTTCAGTGTCTAAGTACACTAAAAATTGACCATAATAATTTTAATGCAAAGTCTTCCAGGCTAAGGAGATGTGATTTATTGATTTAAGTTATAATAAAGATTAAAATCCATTCTTAAAAATTTTAAAAAATAATTTTCTACACTAAGAAAAAAGTATGGTTACAATCACCAGATTATGATAAAATTTACTGTGTTTCTGGCATAAAAACGCTCAGAAACGCTTTACTGAAAACATAAAAACGCTCAGAAATTTTTGACGAAATGCTTTGGTAATAATTTTTGCCAAAATTAACAATAAGATATGGTTTTCTAATAAGAGTTAAAACTTTGCAAATTTGGTAATTGCTTCATGATACCTTAAAGCATAGTATAAAAACTATTTATTTGGTTGAATTTACTTTTCATGCTTTTTATATTTTAAAAAATGTGTGTTTTTAGGAACTATAATTTTGAAAACAAGAATTTTCGTTAAACCGTTACTATATGAACGGAAAAATTACCAAATGGGTGCTTTAATTATCGTATGTTTTTGTTTTCTTAACTAGAATTATGGTTTATTTTTAACCAGATTTGTCATAATACCATAGAATACGGTAATTTAAAAAGTATTTTACTCTGTGCAGATTTCAGTTATTTTGAATGTCATGCACTGTTTTAAAATTAAAAATTAAGCTCTATGTAATTATAGCTCTATTTTATAACTTTTTCTTCTTACAACCACGTATTATTATTTAATTAATCAACTAAAAAGACTTCCAATTTCTTTAAAACTAATACTAGAACAGCTAAACTGCATATAAATTTATATTATATTTTCATATTGCATAATATCATATTGCATTTATAATTTCAGCATGAGAACATCATTTCCAAAATGTTTATTTACTATTAGCATTTAGAAAATAAGTCATTTATAAACAAATATTTAAAAATTGTAAGGATTAATGTAATAAGTGAAATTTAAATACATTTCATGAAAAATTAGCTGCTCATTTAGTCTGATAACATCTTTAAGTTGATAAAATCTTCAAGCATCATAATTTCGCCTCTTTCCGTTAGAGGGAGTGAGTAAGCTCAAGATCAACGGGATCGTTTGAGGCAGATGATTTCCGAAGTACTTCATGAGAGCACTGTTCTGTAGTTTTGAGAGATTTAGTTCAGCACGAGTTTCAGTTGTTGCGCTTGGGATATTTAATTTGATTAAGTTCTGCCCATATATTTTCCGGTCGCCTGACTATTGTAGGCAGAATTATGGGTAAGTTTATCATGCTCATTACTTAGTGAAATGACTTTTAAATATTGAATTAATTTTTGCGTTTAGAAGATTGTATTTAAAATATATTTTTTCATCCATTTTTATAAAAAAAAAATACTATCCGTTAATTTATAATTTAAAACATTAATATTATTTGATGAATGAATAATTTAATTAAGTTTTTAAAATGGTTTTATGAAACAAATTATTAGTAAACTTCTTTTTTCGGCAATAAAATTTATAATATTTCATTAATAATATTTTAAATTATGTAAATGTAAAAAAAATAATAATTAATCTAAGTGCATGATTTGATTTTATGTGAATTTTGAAAGCGCTTGAATTCTATGTTGATTGCTGTTAAGCACCGTAAAAAACTCCGAATCAAATTGCAATAAAAAGTACCATAATTCAATACCGTATATTTTGCAGTAATAATTATTTAACTACAGTTATTCAGTGATTTTACAATATATATATTATTGTAAAGTATTTCAAAATTTTTGTTCTGTAAAATTCAATGATAAGAATGGATATTACAGAAAAAAGTACTAGCTTCTGGAATGAATTCTATGGTGATTGTTGTTGTGCATATTGAAAAATCCAGGATCAAATTGCAATAAAAAGTACTTTAATTCAATACCGTATGTTTTACATTAGTAATTATTTCACAACAGTAATTCACTAATTTTGCAATAAATATTATTGTAAAGTATATCAGATTTTTTGTTCCGTAAAATTCCATGATAAGAATGGATATTACAGAAAAAAGTACCGGCTTCTTGAACGAATTCCATGGTGATTGTTATTATGCGTATTGAAAAATTCCGGTTCAAATTGCAATAAAAAGTACCTTAATTCAATATCGTATATTTCACATTAATAATTATTTCACAACAGTGATTTACTGAATTTACAATAAATATTATTGTAAAGTATACCAGAATTTTTGCTCCTTAAAATTCTACGATAAGAATGTATATTACAGAAAAAAAGTACTGGCTTACTGGGTGTCAGTACATTTTACTAATGTTTGATTTGGAATTTTTAACAGGGTGAGCTGTTCTCGGAAGGAAGAAGCATGACACAGATCTAAATTTTAAGCTGTGAAAATGATTAAGTATTAATTTAACCCTTTGATGCTGATGCGTCTCTTTTATATATTTTTTCCTCGCACACTATTAACAAGCAAAGACATATTTCGGTATTTTTTGATTATAAAAACAGTCTAACAGTTACTAAAAAAACTGCTTGATTATCGGAATTATATTTATACTTAAATATATAATACAAAAGAGTAGTTAGAATTTTTGTTTTCATTCATATAGAAAATTTATTAATAATTGATTTTGTAAATTAAAGAAATTTCATTGACAAGTAACTGTTTCTTTTGGATCTAAATAATTACCATTAAGTGGAAATGCCTGTGAATAAGTGAATCTGTTAAATAAGTGAAATGTGTTAATTGTCTCTCCTGAACGATATAATTAAAAGTTTTGAATGAATTTTTGGATAAGGGGCTGAAATCGCCCCTTTTACCCACTGTCCAAATTTCAGGATGCAAATTTTTCCAGATTTATAAGAGAGACACATACACATGCACAAACTCTTTATTATAGATATTATTATGGATAATGCATACCACCTACATTTCTACATCTGGTACCTATTAAAATTGCATCCATTACCATAATGCCAGTAGTACCTATTGCGTCAGTAATAAAAAGGCAATTTTTTACATTTTTTTCTAAATAAATTAGAGCTATTTTTCACGTTATTTTGCTTTAGTACTTAGAGTATATAGCTTATTTTCTATTTCAGTAAGTACTTATTACCGAAATTAATTAAGCATCATTGGCGTCAGGAATAATTTGTCGAATTTTTTACGCTTTTCTTAAACGAATTAAGCCCATTTCTCTATTAATTTTGCTATTAACATTATTTTTAATGTTAATTAGTAATTAGTACCAAAATTAATTACACATCAATAGCGTCAATAATATTATGGCTATTTTCGTACATTTTTCTAAATGATTTAGTACCACTTCCGAATAAATTTTGGTTTATAGTATATCTTTTCTTTACAATTAGTAATTATTATTAAAATTAATTAAGCATAATTAACGACCATAATAGTTTGTTTTTTTACGTTTCTCTGAAACGCATTGGTATAATTTTACTTTTATTTTTTTTAGTACACAGTTTATTATTACACGGTCTCATTAGAGTCAATAATAGTTGAACTTGTTGATAGTTGAACTCGTGATTGTCGAATCATAGTATCAGGCAATCAAGTTAAAGAAGTATATCTATATAGTTCATCCATACACTCTATTACGTTTGCTGAAATTTAAAACAACTCTCATAGCAACTGATTTGCAATAAGCTGATGATTTTTTTAATTATTTTATTGGAATTGTTGTATCGTGAATGACCAAATAAGAGGATTTTAATGCCATAAATGCACCCTTCATATTTAATGTTTGTCAGTTAGGTACTTCACTGTAAAAAAATGTCTTGTACCTGGACACCAAAACGATGTTGTTGTCGTCGTGTCCACAGATGAAGGTAATAAACTAAATTCCATTAAAGGAGCGGTTAACTGCAGCCGCCAGCTCTAGTGTATCGGAGCCATAAAGGATCTGCGGAAGTGATTCTGAAGTGTCAGCATACCCAGCTTTAAAACATCTGCAGTAAAAATTGGGCATTCAGAGATAAGTTTTGGTATCAGTTTGGAATATTAGCAGTTCTTGCAGTTGATATATGATCTTGTATTATCGGGATGGATTTTCATGCCCTTATAATGTTTTGTCCTTAGTCTGGTTAATGTAGAGATATCATCTCTAGGACAATCGTTGTCTGTGATCATTGGTTTCCTGGTAGACCTGTTTGACCTGTTTTCGGCGAACTTGCCACCAAAAAGATGACAACTATTTAGACCAAAATGGTGGACCTAAGGAAAGTTCCTGATACTTGGAAGCAATTAGAATGTTTTTTTCTTTAAAAACTACTTGGAGTGTTTGTTACTTACCATCATGTTTGTTATTTAGCAATTCTAAAATTTATTTTAATGAGACAACATAAAGTAAAAATCCAACAATTATGTTGCATATATACACTAATTCTTAAAATAAAATGAGTATGTAAATCAAACATACGCATGGCAAAAAAATATTAAGTTAAATTCAAACCAGACATGAAAAAGTAAAAGTGGTTAGAAATTATACAATAAAGAAATTTTTCACATTGTTTTCATAGACATAAAAATTGAAATATAAATGTCTTTTTTACACAAATAAAGACATAGGTGCATATTTTTCAATACGTTTATGCAGATGAAAAGCAATATTCAGGACAGCCACAAGCACTCGACAGCCACACAAGTAAACTATAATTTACGAAACCAAAATACGCCAACATTAGAGTTTTCTGAAGTAAAAATATCAAACTTATGTATAAAGGTGATTGATCTTGGTGCAACTTGGTGGTGATCTTGGTTATTGGTGTTTGGAGCTTTCATATGTATTAACTGTGTATAAAATAATTATAAACTGTATATAAAAAGCTAGATGTGACTTTTATAGAGCCAAATTAAGCTAAAGTTTCTCTGTAATGTTCATAAGTTAGGTGCTACACTTCTGAAAAATATTTTGTGAATGAAATATCGTTACCTTTATTATGCTTTTTCTTAGAAAACAGCAGGTACGTTTGCAGTTTTTTAAAATAACTGTCAAATCTAAAAATGGAACATTCATCAAGTTCTGAGACCCATTGTTGCTGACTTAATAGAAATAATTTAATATAATAATAATTACAGAGTAGAAAAAATCCTGGAACAACATTAAACTATCTCATTTTTATTATGAAACAATCCTGAAACTGTATTTTGAATAAGCTTTGCTATCTATTACTCATAAAACTATTATTATAATCGGATAAATAAAGATTATTTATTAAAATGACTTAAAATCGCAAATTTTTGGAAAATGACCCTTACCACCTATGATAAGACAAATAATTATTTAGAAAGTAAGAAACACAAATCAAGCACATAACGAAATTTTTTTAAAGATATGTATGTTAGAGCAAAACAGAACTTCATCTGGGGACGCGCTGTCTGAATTGTATTATTTACGTTGTTGACAAAGCATCTAATAATTTTTGCTTTATTTTTAGACATTTAACGAGTAAAGAATATAAAAACAATAATACTTTTGTTAAAATTAATAATTCTAAAAATGAAATTGACAATCAATTTTTTTTTCTCAAGTAAATAGGTTTAAAAATCAATAGAATTAATTATCCTTATTTATTTCCAACAATTAAGTTCCACAAAAAGCAGGTTAAATTTAGATTTCCTACTTACAGTACTGAATGCTATAATTCTATTTTTGGATTTTTTTTTAATTATTTAAACATTATTTTAAGCAAATTATTTCTAATGATAAGCATTGTTTATAAATCACATACGTTATTAAATATTAAAAATATTCAAATATTTAAATTACAACAAAATTAATAGTATTCTTACATATGATTTCGAAAATTTATTTACGAGTATACCACACAATAATTTGAGGAATAATTGCTTAGAAATTTTTGATAAATATTTGATGGATTAATTTATGTAATGTACTGAAAGAAAACACAAATAATTAAGATCAAAAGGATAAAACTTCTTTGAAAAAAACGCGCTAAGAAGCAGCAGAAATTTCAGAAAAAAGTATCAATACAAAACAAATGAAATAAAATAAAAATATGACCACCGAAGCCGACGTCTTCAGGGGGTACCGGCCCCGGTAGCCNTTGGACTTTTTTTTTTAATTATTTAAACATTATTTTAAGCAAATTATTTCTAATCATAAGCATTTTTTACAAATCACATGCGTTATTAAATATTTAAAACATTCAAATATTTAAATTGCAACAAAATTAATAATATTCTTACATATGATTACGAAAATTTATTTACGAGTATACCACACAATAATTTCAGGAAT